CCCATTGATATTTTGACTTAATTTAGGCTTAAGACTCCTTAATTGTTGGGCCACCATTTGCACAAAATTTTTGGGCCCTCTTGGCCCAATATGAAGTCTTAATCTGTTTTTAAAAGGAAGAAAAAGTGAGGCCTACTCATAAATATCAATCTTTAACTAAAACCCACTATTTCAGTTACTATTTTCAAAAATAGTTTTGGGCCTTCAAAAATTTATTTCTCTCCATCAAAAACTCCTTTCTAATATAGGAAAGTATTCTGAAAAATTTGGAAATTTATCTCAATCACTAACTATTTATTTTGAATTTTCTTCGAAATCAGGTTTTACCAATAAGATTTCAGTAATTAAATATTCTAAAATTAATCCTTTCACCTTCAAGGCCTAGAAAAAATTTTATAAATTCAACTAAATATTTAGATAATTTTCTCATATTTTTTTGAAATTATTGAGGTCTCTACATATTTAAAATAATTGTATCGGGCTAATTTTTCACTATTTTTTTGAAAACCTCTGTTTATAAAAAATTTTGTAATAATTTATTTTTATGCTATTTTCATCTCTAGGGCCTTGAATAGTGTTCCAAAACCTCTAATTTATTGTTTTACCATTTTCTGAGTATTTTCTAAAAAAATTTCCCCATTTTGCCATTTTATCTTTTCTAGACCGATAATTTTAAAAATATTAGTCCAGACAAAGGTCAGAGCTTGACTCAAAAATTATTCTGCCTCTAAGTCTACTTTACTATTTAATCCTCTATCTAATTTATTATTCACATTCTCATGGTCAAATTTGACGAGATGTGACATTTGTAGGTATTGATAGATTACAACTTATATAAATTATATTTTTTATGTTGTTTTTTGTGCAACCAGGGCAAAACTATAAAAAATATTTTTTAGAAAAATAATATGTACAAGTTTTTAGATATGTTCCGCAAACGACTAGTATAAAATATACTTTCTAAACTAGGTATTTATTACAACCCAACAATGTAAAAAATTTTAGAAATAGTTTTAAAAAATAATATTGACAAGCTTTTAAAAGTTGATTTAAAACTTAAAAATTTAACCTAAAGGTCTATAATATTCAAATACAATTTTAAAATTTAAATTTAAATTTTTTAACCAATGGTTTTAAAACAAAAAAATATATTTTGCAAAATTGATAATTAAAAGATTATTTTTATTTCAAATTATGTACACATTAAAATAATTCTCTAAAAAATAAAAGTAAAAACTAAGATTCAATCTAAATCATCCAAATTAGATATAGATAGTATGTAATGGTGATAAGGTTGGAAAAAAAAAAACAAAAAGAAAAGTAATGGTGATAAGTTCTTAGTAGTCATTAATATGCTTAACATGGAATAAATTGCTCCTTTTTTTATTCAAACTAGTTCAGTACCCGTGTAATGCACAGGATACATTCAAGACAAATAAAAAGTTGTACAACTGACACCTTTTATCTTTTTTTTTATATGCAACAATTGTTGGGAAGGAAAAAAAACCTAATAGATGGAAGGATCATAACTCAAATAGAAAATCAGTTTATGACATTGATTTGATTATATTTATATTTTCAGTTGGATCCATACAAAACTAAGTAGTTAGTTGTAAATCGACCTTTAGCTTTAAGAGGTTGAGAAAGGCGTTGACTACATAAAATTTGGAATGAAAATTTAGTGACTACATAATTGTTAAGACAAATCTTTTTTACCCAAATCAATGGAATGAAAATTTGGTGCTTTCATTGTTGACTGCATAAAATTGGAGAGATGAAGACTGAAAGAATTGCCCAAAACACTACCTTAAAACAATTGCTTCTAACCACCACATGTATATGTAGCCACAAACCCATACACACAACCAACCCTACTACCTGTAACCGTCACTAAACCCACACCCACGACCATGGGTTGTTATAGTCGAAAAGGTTGATTGTTGCAAACCTAATGACAAAGCGGAAACGACCACAATATAATGGCTAAACACAAAATTGAAAACCAAAAAATATGCAAAGTGGGAAGGTGTGGTTGACGTCTAATTGTGAACGACAGCCCTTAAAATTTTATTTTAATCCATTAATTAATCCAAACAATAGTCGCTTTTTGTGAAATGTTAATTTTAATTGAAAAATTGAAATATTAATTTAAATTTAAAATTTGAATTATTAATTAAATTTTATTTAAAATATGAAATATTAATTTGAAATTAGAAAATTTCCTAGAAGAAAACCTTGGAATATGAACCAATATGGATGCAGTGATCAAAACTCACAACATTAGAAATTCTTCCCAATTTTCACTTTCAATTAAAAATCTGTCTCAAAATATGGAATAACAATAGGAACTGCTATCATTTTAATTTTTCCCATTTTATTTTTTCAATTAAAAAAATCCTCTATTTATCTAAGATTATAGCTTGCCACGTGGCATGCTGTAAAAGATTATTGATTGTTGACAAAACTAAATGTTGTGAAACTTTATTTACAGTTTAAAGATTTATATTAATTTGAATTTAAATATGGAATATTGATTTGAAATCTTAAAACTAACCAACCTCAAAAAATTTCGCCCAAAAAAGTAACAACATGGCATAAGTCTATTCATTTGTTTTTTTTAAATTTTATAAATATATTTGTAATTCAAAATGATTTAATTGGGGGGATGGACAACTACTTTTTATGAACTATTAATTTTAATTTAAAATTTGAAATATTAAGAGCTTTTTTTTTAAGATTATTGAATTTAATTTCAAACATGAAATATTCTTAATTGTAATAAAAAAAATTCCTATAACAAAGTAATAAAATCAACGTGTTCTGGTGATCAAACTTCACATGTCGACCTGTAACCAACTCTTGCTTTGTAACCAACCATCAAATAATAGTGAGATAGATCATGTTTTAAATTTTAAATTTTGTGAGGACAATTCTTTCTGTGAATAATTTGCCAAAAAAAAACAAAAAAAAGAAAAACACATGAATAGGAGAACATGTGTAGGAACATAACTGCATGAATAGGGGAACGTGGGTAGAAACGTAAACATATGAATAGGGGAACAGGGATAGAAACATGACTTTTACAAAAATTTAAAAATGAGGACCATTTATCTACCCAGTGGTGATGCCACGTGTCGTACTGCTAGCAACTCCTACCTTATACTCTACTTTTATATATTAATAGATTCTAGACCGTTGTGATCAAAATTGGACGATCAGATTTAATATAATTTTGTTTGTATATTTTTAATAGTTTAATATTTGTTTGATAAAAAAATTTAAATATTTTAATGTGTATAGAATTTTTAAAAAAAATTGTCTTTTTTAACATAAAGCAAAGATTATCTTTTAACTACTGGTTATTAAAAATAAATAAATTTTTACTTAAAAATCATCCGTTGAAAATTTTAAATCTCGATCGTATATTTAGACGGTACAGATTTCATCATAAGAATGCAGGTGATGAGCACAAAAATTAATTTCCTTTATTTTTAAATAAAAAAATATATTATACATATTTTCCTATACTTTTTATTTTTAGTTATACCCACTTATAATGGGGTTGAGCATATTTATTAAAGGATTAAAGTGCAAATTTGTTCTGAAAGTTTTTAGTTATGAGTGCATGGCACATGAAAGTTTTTTTTGGGTGCAAATTCACCCTGAAAGTTCAAAATCATAGCAATATTATCCCTAACCATTAAAAAACTAATATTGACTGTTATAAAATAATGATGTTGACCGTTGAGATTTTTAAAGTTATATAGAGTAACAATGCTATGATTTTAAGCCATCAAAGCAAACTTGCACTCAAGAAAGTTTTCGGCTACCCAGCGCACTCATGAGTAAAAATTTCCAAGATAAATTTGTAATTTGCCTTTTATGCAGTGTTTGTTTGGGGGTTTTATGAGGGGAGGTGAGGGGGAGGAGAGGTAGGAGGTGGATGAACCCTGTTTGATTCGATAAATTAGAGGGAAGGAGAGGAAAAACATTTTTGTCTTTTTCTGCTCTCCTCCACTCTTCCTCCTCCTCTCCAAAAGTGGAGTTTTTTGGAGAGGAGAGAAATTATTTGTCCTAACTTGACAATATTGCCCACACTATTATTTCAATATTCCAAGTTTACCCTGGCAACTTCAGCCTCCTACCCGTCGTTTTGCCTCTGATAAGCATGATGAAATAATAGTAATAGTAACAACAACAACAATAAGAATATTTATTATTATTATTATATATGTTATAATACAACTATAAGATATAGTTATACATACAAGTATAACTATAATTTATATATTTTTTTGCCAGCAACTATAATTTATATATATTAAGTCTTAATTAAATTTCATTTATCATTATACTTTATTAAGCATTTTACAAGATTTAAAAGAATAACTTAAGATAACATGAGGATAAAATTGTCCACATAAAAATTTTTCTCCTCCCTTCTCTATCTAAACCAAACAAGGTAACATTAAAATCCCTTTCCTCTCCTCCCCTGTATTAAAATCCCTCTCCTCCCTTTTTCTCCTTTCCCCTCCACTAAAATCCCTCCCTTCCTCTTCCCTTCATTCAACCAAACACACCCTTAGGAAAATGGATAGGTTGACCTTTTTCCAACATATATACTAACATACTGTGGAAATAATCACACATCAAATCGGTGGTTTACATATTTATATGCCTTACATGCATTGCTCTTGACACATCAAGCACATCCAGCAAGTTTTGTGCATGCCCGCCACGTACCCAACCGCATCATTGGTGGCTCCTCCTAGTGTCTCCATCTATATCCTCTCGCAGTCTCACTCAGAACGACCACCGAATGAAGTTTTTCTTTATTTTTTTTTTATTTCCTTATTATGTTATTATTATCTCTATATATGTGTAAAAGTAGGAATAGTTGCTCTGCTCCACAGAAGTTCAGCCCGTTGGAACTGAAGGAGAGGAAGAATAAGAAAGAAGGAGAAAGGGAAGCAAAAGTGAGAGAAAAAGACCAAAATACCATGGCTAGAGAAGTATCGTTGGAGGAGTCAATGATAAGTGTGGCTAAGAATGCACCTGTTACTGCTCAACGAAGGGTTAGGGATGACTTGGAGGACTTCATGTCAAAGCCTTGTAAGTTTCATCATCTGATCTCTTCCCTTCTCCTAACACAATTATTTTGGAGTAATATTGTTGTTTTTATTATTATGATTTTCTTGTCGCCAAATTATTGTTATTATAATTATTATTAGTAGTAGTAGTAGTACTACCACCATGTGGTTTCAGACATGGCAAGAGCATTGGTAGCTCCTGATATAAGTCATCCACGGGGAACACATGGCCACAGACACAGCAACATGACAGTTCTGCAACAACATTGTGCTTTTTTCGATCAAGATGATGATGGCATCATTTACCCTTGGGAAACTTACATGGGTGAGTACGATCGTTCTTTTTTTCTTTTTTTTTTTGAGGCAGAGAGAGATTTTTCTGAAGTTTATGTTAGTCAAGTAAATAGAGAGAAGCAGAAAAATAAGTTTTTTACCCATCTAAGTCCTAACAAATCTGGCCACCTATTTCTCTCTTCTCTTTGTGAATAAACTTGATTTGTTTCGATGAGGCGGGGGTCGGTAAATTTTTCTTATTTCTTAGAGTAATATATATATGTTATGATGTTCATATACACACACATATCAATTTTTTTTAAGCAAAAATTTGTATGTCAAGGTTAAATTTGATATAAATAAGAGATTTATAGAGACATGATTATGTAGGGATGCGAGCACTTGGGTTTAACATCGTTGCATCTGTGATTATGGCAATTGGTATCGCTTTGGCAATGAGCTATCCAACTCAACGTGTGAGTCTTTTTTATTTGGTTATGTATGAATATTTTAATTTTCTTCTATGAAAAAGGGTTTGAACTTTTGATACGACTTACGTAAATGTTTTTCGCTTATATATATCCTACCTCCGTTATTACCTTTTTTTTTTTAATAATTTACATTCATAATTAAAAAAAATTCTGAAGTAGAAGGTATCTAATTGCAAAAAGAGAAGGGGAAAAATATTGTTTGTTTTTTTCCTTTTATTTGTGAGAAAATTTGAAGTTTTGAAAAGAAATATATATAGCTGAAGAAGAATGAATTTCAATTTTCACAGTCAAAAGGCTATTATACTTTTATTAGTTTGTTTTGTTGATTAGGGATATGTTATTAAAAAAAAAAGGTATGATTTCAATATGATGCAGAGTTGGCTTCCGTCTCCATTGTTTCCTATTTACATTCACAACATACACAGAATCAAGCATGGCAGTGACTCCGGAACTTATGATACCGAAGGCCGGTAAGTTAATATGGTTGACGAATTAGTCATTCTCATTTAAATAATTCTTTTATGGTTGAGATTAATTATTAATTTGGATGGTTTAATCATAAGTTTTTTTTGTTTTATTTTCTATTTCTGTTTTCATTGAAAAAGAATGCAAAATAAACATGGATTGTTAGACTGTGGAATAATTAAAAAATTTGAAAAATTTGAAAATAGAATTTAGACTGTTTGAAGAATTACTAATAATTAAGTTGATTCCCTCAACTGGACAATTAAAAAGATCATTGTTGCACAAAGACAATTAAAAAAATTAGGGCTGCACGACTAGACTGGGTTAGATATCTATCAGCCTACACTCTGGCATGAAAAATGATTAGGCTGACAATTTTGGTATGAGAACCGGTCCAGTTTGGTTAGGCTGGGACCAAGACTGGGTTAGACCTAATTCACCAAGTTACTGGACCGGTTCAAGTTGCTTTGTCATTCATTTTTTTAATAAAAAATTGGTATGCTGCACACACACACACACGAAATAAAGCAACCTAAATCTGAAAATAAAAGAACAACTATTAAAAATAATTAAATGAGGAAGAAGGATTACGTAAAAAAATATAAAATTAAAGAAAATAAATATAGGTACTATATTAGGCCTAAATAGTCAATCCAGAACCTGGTTTGACACGATGTTCCTAGCCCAAGACTACTTTTTTTGGGCTGCACAAGACTGGCGGGTTTATTTGGACTAGATCAGGTTTACTTAGACTAGATTAAAATACTTTAACTACCTCTCTATTTTATCTAAATTACAAAAACTTTCCTTCTATTTTAAAAATGTATATAAATAATATAAACCTGCCTTGAAATTAGAATGCATATGATACAAACCTCCTATATATAGTATTCCTATATATAGTATATATATTTAGGATTTCATTTCCATCTATCCAATCATCAAGTAATCATCCGTTATATTTGAGGTTTTTTATTTCCATCTATCCAACCTACATATTAGGTGATCGTCCGATAGTTAAGTTTGACTTTTAAACTTTCTTAATATAAAAGTTATTTTATTTGTCAAAAAAAGGGTTTAATACATGTATTTTCAAATTTTTAATATGCAATAAAATTTATTAATTTTGATTATATTATAAAATTTTATAATTTTAATTTTAAATTTTGACTACAGAAATCATTTAAATTTATAATTTAAAAGTTTTAAATAAAAATATTGTTAGAAAAATTTATAACATATTTATTCTATTATATATTTATTTAAAGAATTAATCAAATTTTCATTTTATGGCTACATTAACTAAATTAATTAATTTTTCATCCTAATATGATAAAAGCACTAGACAAACAACTATTTGTAAGAATAAAAATAAATTAAGGAAAAGGGAAAAAATTTAAATTTTTCAAAATGTTTTAGGCAAAATTTAAGGATTTAGTAATATAAAGAGTAAATTAGCAAATAAAAGCCATTTTAATTAAAAAAAGGTATCTTTTTATAAGATTTCTAACGGAGTTAACAGACTTAAATGTATATTTTCAAAATAAAGAGAAAGTCGGTATAATTAGGGTAAAATACAAATAATCAGCAAGGACCACCTTGCAAGGCTAAATACTCCTGGGTGACCGATAGTGAAGTAGTACCGTGAGGGAAGGGTGAAAAGAAACCCTATCGGGGAGTGAAATAGAACATGAAACCGTAAGCTCCCAAGTAGTGGGAGGAGCCCGGCTCTGACCGCATGCCTGTTGAAGAATGAGCCGGCGACTCATAGGCAGTGGCTTGATTAAGGGAACCCACCGGAGCCGTAGCGAAAGCGAGTTAGAGTATTTTACTCTAAAAAAAGTACTTAATTGAGAGGGAAAAAAAAATTTCACCTGAAATTTATTTTTATGATGCAGATATTTTGATTTTCATCTTTTATTGTGTTAAAAAAAGAACTTATTCCCATTTTTTTATTTTAAAACAAAAGAATTAAACACAAAAATTTTGGAAATCAAATGTGAATGCTTTAGATTTAATTTCCTCGAATATAAAAGAGGGCAAAAATATAAATACTTTAAATTTAATTGTCCACGTAGTATATGCATGATTTTTTTTTTTTTTGCCATCAGTATATGCATGAATTTAATACATGGATATATTTTTCTACATATGATATAGTATACATTAAAAAATTGACATAAATTGAAAATTTTTTGTGCAGATATGTTCCAATGAATCTGGAGAACATATTCAGCAAATATGCTAAAACAAAACTGGACCACCTAACGCTTGGCGAGATCTGGGAAATGACTGAGGGAAACCGCAATGCTTTCGACCCTTATGGCTGGTTAATTTTTTATTTATTATTTTAATCTTCACTATTCCTTTTTAATAATTATTTTAGAAAAAAAACTTACATCCTTTTGACCTATTTCCTTATATGAACTATAAAACAAATTTACTAATACTAAGAAGTAGATAAAATTAGTTGATGTCTTGAAAATTTGAGTTTTTCTTAAAATTCTCTCATTCATTAAATGTTATATCTATACAATTCTAAATGCTTTTTGCAAACCAAATTCTTTTAAATCCATTTTTTATTTTTTTTTAGAATTGCAAACAAATTTTCTGAAAAAGAAGACTGCATATGTTGATTCAAACATGCATAAATTCAAAAGTCACAATTACAAATAAGGCATTTATTAAAATATAATTTCAGTTAAACTAATATTTCCATTATTTGCAATTGTCTGAATTAATCTACATATATATTTTTGGAACTTATTCTCTTGAAAAAAATCTTCAGGGCATTAACTATCATTAATTCAATTTTTTGGGACTTTTTGGGAAATAAAATGCAGAGAATTGATGAAAATATCGAAAATTGAATGAATAATAAAATAGAATTACATGAAATTGGCGCATATTTTTTTATTTGCAGGACAGCAGGTAAATTGGAGTGGGGAGTTCTATACATTCTGGCAAGAGATGGAGAAGGTTTCCTCTCCAAAGAAGCTGTGAGACGCTGCTACGATGGTAGTTTGTTTGAATATTGTGCAAAAGTTCAAGCAGGGGTTCACGCCAAAACGACTTGAACAACCCAACCACAACAACTCAAAACGACAATGTAATTATTGTCTTTTTATGGTCAAATATGTAATATATATGCAATTAGCGAGTTAAATGATAATGTCCCATTTAGGAATACCAATTCAGACTTTATAGACATTAGATCCATCTCATCTCTGAGTAATTTAATGTTGGATTGGAGTTTGAGGAGCGAGTCATAACGAAGAGATGAAAAATTGATTATCTTTATTGAGTTTGGGACTTTGGGGTAATGTTATTTTGACCCATCTTATGCAGTGTAATGTTAAGAAATTGTTAATAATAGTAAGATACATACTTAAAAGTTATTTCCTGTTCATCATGCATGTGCATTTGAGTCGTCTTATTTGAAATGAAGTTTCTGTGTTTTTTCCCCCTTTATGTTAGGTTTTTTAAGATTTAATTCGTCAAACCCTTTCGTTCCTGATAATGAAAATCATTTAATAAGGGTTAATGGTGTCGAGAAATCTACTAATCAATGATGAGGTGGCGGACATATTAAGCACACTTTTACAAGTGTCTCTAACGTAACTAAGCACAAAGCCAAATCTAAAAATAATTTATCAACAATTAATTCATTATTGCAAAAGAACAACGAAAATCGCACACTTGAACCATGTTTATAATTACACTACCAACAAAACAGCATTTTGCACTAATTATTTTGGTGTGTAGCCATGGAATCGCTACTAACATTAGTAGCAGAGGTTTTGACAATAAATTCACTGTGGCAAGGTTTTGTAGTTATACACTTGGTCAAACCCACCATAAAGTTAGTAGCAAGCTTCAAAAAAGAGAAGTAGACATTGAATTAATTGAGATAGTGCGTTAAGGGTTAATGGGTCAATTTGGGGTCAACTCGAAGTCATATTAGTTTCATTAGAATAATAAAATTTAATTGATAATAACAAAGTGTGTTGATAAGTTGTATATTGTCACGTGGAGTCCTTTCTTTTGCATACTGATTAGAGATTTGACTATTTTAACTGATATTTTGATTACTGGATGAAGGATAAGTGCTACTGGTAAGTTGGAGGCCTTAGGACTATGTATGTGACTATTGTGAATGTACTTTGAATATTTATGATTCAACAAGTACTATTCAATAATCCATTTGTGCTGTGGGCTTGGCTTGGTTGATTCCCGGCGCTTGATGCTCATAGGCCCATTTTGAGATGTTTGTTATTGATGATCATGTTAATCAGGGGCCTAGTTCCTATAAACATGTTGGCAGGATTGATCTTTTTCTAACACGGTTTTGCATCTCCTAATTTGTGAAAATTCTTTTATCCATGTTAGCTTTTGGAGATGGAGTTTATTCATTTTTCTACCAGGAATGTGTGTAAATGGTGACTAAAGTTTTAATTATTCACGATAGATCTTTCTAAGTCAGTGTTTGTTTCTTTTCTATCATGGATATCTTTTTAGAATAAGTTGAATTTTTTGACTATGGTTTCTTTATTTAATCTTTTGACGTTTGTATCATAATAGCAACTAAAATGGATTTAAATTGAGTAATTCTTTAGTTTTAGATGGTGAACTTTACAATTGGGTATCTGTCACATCCTGTTAATTTTAACCCTAAAAATGAGGAGTATAAAATAGATTATAGGTTAAGCAAAGTAGTCAACAAATAGATGGTACAACTTTTGAATTGAAACCAGACTAAGGGCCCAACTGTTATTTTCAAAATATCCAATCAATATTTAATAGAGTGGGTAAGAAAATTTCCAAAAAATTATGAAAAATAGAATAGAGGGTATGGAACAGTATTTGAGGCCTAAAAGATGAAAATAGTGTGAAAATAATTTATTTTACAATTTTTTATATTTTTTTGGAATTTTGGTTGATTAAGGGAGAATTGGCCAAATTGAATTATTTAAAATACATAGGGACCTCAATAATTTATGAAAAAAATTATAAAAATTATTTGAGAGGTTATTATAAATTTTAGAATTGTTTCCAGCCTCTAGAGATATAGAGGTTAGCTTTAAATTATTTAAAGTCAGAGTTATATTGGTAAAAGGCTAATTTTGGGAAAAATTTAGTTAGAGGAGCTATAGGGAAAAATAAAATTTGAAAAAAATTAGAGAAACTTCTCCTTATCAAAAGAAATATATTGGCTCAAGGAAATAAATTTTTGGAGACAGTGGATTTGACAAGATACAAAAAAAAAAATTAACTGCTATTGTGAAATTATACAGTGTAATAATCATAAGCTTGGTGTTAGAATTAAGGTTTTGATGATGGCAAAGTAAGTTTGTCTACATTATTTGATAACCTGTTTGATAATTAATATATCTTTCGATAAGCTTATGGATAATTGCGGTGTTCGATCACGTATTGGATAAATGGCTAAAACTTGTTTAATATAGTTATTGTTAAGTACTTATCGATCACGTGATCGATAAACAAGGTTTTTGATAAGCCATCAGATAAATGGTAACTAACTCTGCATGCTGTTAGGCATTTGTCGATGACCTTATCGATAAATGAAGTCTTCGATCAGCTTTCATATAAATGGTAAGCCTCAATGAACTATGTCTTGCTAGACCACTTTATGAATTATGGATGCTCTTATCAATCTTCATATTCTTCGATAACCTGCTCTGAAACTAAGTAAGTATGCTTTACTAAACTTCTTTGATGTTCAATCAGCTATTCGATGAGTTCCTATTTGTCTCTCCAAACTTTCAGTTCTGTTTAGAGGTTAATTGATAACCTTATCGATAACCATAGTTATCAATCACTTAATCGATAAATACACTTATCGATCAACTTATTGATCAAGTCACGTTTTCCTATCATGCGTTGTCTTACCTTTCTTAAAGAGTTTTTCTAGCAGTTTTTTGATAACCAATTTATCAATAATCTTTTAGATAAAACTATGTAAAATGTTTTTTTAAGGTTACTTCAATTATCGATAAGCTTTTGGATAAAGTGAATTATCATAATGTGTTCTGAAAAGTTCAGATTACATTGCTCCAAATTGTCTTCACACTGACTTTCAAAAACTATGATATTATTGTGTTTTTAAGCTTTTCTCAACCTTCATTGATTATCTTATATGTTTTATAAAAAGGCAAAAATGGCCCCTAATTCAAAAACAAACCTTTTCTAGTTGGCTTCAGAAGAATTATCTTGACAAATCATTTTTGGTCAACCTTCACTCTTTATTGATAA